GCATGTACTGGCTGCATGGTTACAAAGTACATGTACATACTACCCACAGGTAAAAGCACACCAAAAAATTGATAATAGAATATACGCACTCGAGTTCAAGACTACATAATGAAGAAAAGTAAAACAAATCTCTCTGTGTTCTTTCATATGTACCATCTAAGTCAGCAGAAATACACTTCAACTCAATTTATTCTGCTTCACTTTCAATCATGGTCTGGAGTGAATCTACATAGCAATCCTCATCCTCATAACCAACTTTAACTTAAAATAATCATAAGCACGGACTTAAGAATCAAATCCAAAAGCAGAGAACTAAAATCGCAGATACGATCTATTTGTTACTAAAAAAGAACTACATAGACTCCATCGTCAATCTTCCTAGTGAAGAACTTCCAAAAAAAAATGCACTTGTGTGAATACAAACACTATCTTCATATTTAAACAGGCTAAGCAACAAGAACAAAAATATCCAAGTAGCCCAACAGTTTTCAGCAATGATCAAAACACCTTGTAAATGTTACAGTTATTTGGCTAGAATTTGGTTCAAATCTTACAAAAGAACACTTGGCCAATAATGTGAGTAAAGATGAAACAATATCTCAAACAATGAAAGTGACATCTATCATGAAAAGCAGTCAGCTGACATAAAATACAAAAGTCTTTCTCTTTAACAATACAGATTAATACAGAAATAAAAGTAAACTCACCAAGTCCACCGAAGGTCTGAGCTTTCAGGGCAGAACTTGACTGGTATTTAATAGGTATGTTACTTCACCGACTGCCAACCTGTTTACTGAGACTTGGGCTCAAAGCATGCCCACAGTGCCTGCCCAGTTGCATGAGTCATCATCAAGTAAACAATTATGAGGGGCACAATGCAACTTTAGGATGGGTAGACTAGGGGGTGCTACTCCCATACAGTGCGTGGACATTTCCATTTAGTACAAAGGAAAAAAAAATAAGTTAAATCTGCCCCTGCTACACAAGCCTTTTAAAGGATTTGACCGTAACGAATCTGAGCCTGAATTGGAAACTGAATCTGCAACGCCCATGAATTAAAGGAGAATTAACTAACTTAAAAATTACTTTAAGTCTCAGCTATTCCCCGGAAATAACTGGGGTTAATTTTGCGTTCCTTTAACAAATAACTAATCATAAACATGGACGGTCATTACATATCACCATATATTAGCCAGCTTTATGAATTAATTGGCGTTAAACCAACCGCAGAGGCGTACAAGAAAATAGACGAAGACACGTGTCCACACACCAACAGAATGAAAACAAGAGACATATCTAAACTTTTCTGCTGCAATTGTTGATTAATATTATAGTATAGGCGGCAAATACAATCAGCGTTTTGTTTACAAAAAGCCGAAAAAATCAAAGTCAGGTAACGTTTTAAACAACTAAATGTCCAACTGGACACCGAACAAGCTGGTCTCGTCGAACATAAAGTAAACCAAATTTTAGTGGGTAAAATTTCTCGCGGACAACCACTCAGGTCTTTGGTAGCGGTGTGTTATCAAAACGTAACCGGGCAAACTGCAGAAACCGTAAAAGACCTGTTTCAAGTCTCGGAGAAACACTTTACCGATGCCGTCAAAAAGTTTAAACTTACTTAGTAAATCAAACCGCAAAAGAAGGTCGCTCTTTTTGAAAACCTGTTTAAAGTAAAATGGAGACGCATTCTTTTATTTGACTGAAAGCGAGCAGACGTTTAAATTAGAAAATAAAATCAATAATCTAAAGGCGATTAAAAGATTGAAGTCAGAAGAGTAAGCTTTCACACCGGATATTTCAACATTACAAAATCCACCAAAATCGAATGGCAAACTGAAATCGAAGAAGTCCGGCAGAAAGGCCAATCAAAGGACATAGATCAAGGAGAGCGGCTGTCTCACCAACACCAGATGCAGCAATCAACAAGAATGTTTTAAAAGCGCTTGAACTAACAGTGCCGTTCTCAGAATTAGACACAGACACTCTGGTTTTGCTTTATGACGTATTAAGAGATTATATTCGAGCGTACGAGGGTAGCAGAATTGAACGACAGAGTTAACCAAAAATAAGTGACCTCGACAATCAAATAAAAACGTTAACAAATCAACGTTCAAGATTAGGGGCATCAGATGAAGAGAAAAAAATACGCTAGTTTATCTCATACTTTTATCCCAAGGCCAAGTTGATATCTATGAAGAAGCCCGTCGCATCGCTTCAGAATTCATTCTAGAAGAATTGTTAGGCGACGACAATGAACAAAGAACATGTACCATTAGAGCCGCTCAAACCGAACCCAGACCCCCCTCTTTTAGTCACGGCTTCTGGTTCAAACTCTCCGGTGATGCATCGATTACACAAAAGAGAAACACCCAGAGATTTTTTTTGCAAGGTGGAGAACGCGAGAACGTCGTCATTCCACCCGGGTTTAACAACGTGGATTGTTTTGATTTTATTTTAAACGCCATTACCGGTGTGAGTTTTAAAGTTCACGAAAAGTCAAATTTGATGACAATTACGATAACAGATTTAAATCTCAGATTAAAGTTGGGTAAAGAAGTTGGTAAGTTGTTGAATCTGCCGAGAGGTAGGCTCGTGCCAAACGTTATTTACAAGGGGAAGATAAACACAAATCTCTTGGACGAGCTTTGGATACATTGTTGTGAAATAAACAACCATTTTACTATTTTAACGGAAAACCTTCGTACGTATTGTGCACCAAGTCAGACCTGGGCGAAAGTGTTAAATTATTCGTAAACAAGCGAATAACTAGCTTTGAATTTTCGTTGAGAAACAAACGAGTAGAAGGCGTAAACAATAAAGACGGTACAATTTTACTCGAGCTACACATTTTTCAAACTTGCGTATAAAATATAATGGAAACGCATACTTTTTATTTGACCGAAAATCCACTGACGTTTAAATTGAAAAATGACATCAAACACAATAGGTAATAAAGTCGTTAGAGTACAAAATATACAGTTTGAAGCTGGGTATTTTAACGTGACTGATGTTACTGAAATCAAGTGGGACACATACTTGGACGGAAGACACGCTAGTATGAGTGAAAAGCCATACAAAGAATTAAAAACGATTTTTAGAGGCGTTTGAACAAGACGCACTAGATGCAAAAATTGAAGAACAACAACAAAGAATTCAGATTCTAAATCTACGGATCAAGGATTTATCAGTACAAATCGAACAAGAAAGATACGAGCCGTCAAAACAAGATTTACATCAGCGGATGTCAGATTTAAATCAAATAATAAACGATGAACGTGAAGGTCAACGATTAGCTTTAGAGGAAATCGAGATACAAAACAACGAGCCCATAAAACTTTTTCTCACGGGATTTAGAGGACCCATACTTGATAGACTTAACTCTCAAGCCACATCTCAACCATTACTCGAGGGCCAAAGAGGAAGCATCGTGGTGTTTCCCGGTTATTACGACATAGATTGGTTTAACATTTTGTTAACGTCAATTCCAGGTGTATCTTTCAAAGTCCATTCAAGGTCAAATAGGGTGACCTTGGCCATTACGGACCTCAACCTCAAGTTGAGACTAAATAAGCAAGTAGCCAATTTGTTAAACCATACCCAAAATCAAACTTTTACCAGACATCATTTACGAAGGTAAATTTGATTTAAACCCCTTGAAACTCACGTTTATTCATTGCAAACAGCTAAATACTCATAACAACTTTTACAACGGACAGTCTTCGGGCTTGTTGGACGTGATACCTACCGAGCCCTACTCATATACAATGCCTGACAGTAAAATGCCTAAAAGGTTAATAGACAGAAAAATTAGCGGATTTGCCTTTTCTTCAAAAAACGAGCGAGGAGAACTGGTAAACAACAAAGGCGCTAGAATTTTAATGGAGCTAGCCATTTTGTAAAACGCATATATAATAAAAAGATGACGACAAACAATCAGTCAAACATGTACCCAGACTTGACTTTGGGGGTAATTACCAGTCCCATTGGACTTGTGATGGAAGGCCTCACTATCGGTGCGTTTGGAGCTTACGCCATGTTAAAGTACGCCAGTCGCTGGTTGTGTCATAAAACCAAATCAGAATGCTGGCAGATGCCAAGCTAAACACCACAGACGAGAACGTCTCACATGCAATCAAAGACTGTGACGTGTCTCAAGAAGAATTTGTCTTGATTTTGTCCGAGCATAAAAAAGTTTAACGAAATGAAAGAAAAAGATCCGGTCAAACACGACGACAAAGTTGCAAGCAGGTAAATTACAGAGTATAGAAGAACATGACCGTCAAGTGCAAGCAAAAGCGGAAACTTTAGCCAACGAAAGGGTAGCAGTTTTTAAAAAAGACCTTATGAAAAAACTTGGCGTCTAACTTGGTACAAGTCTGTCCGATATCAAAAGCCACCATCCGCTTATCAAAATATCATGAACGAAGTAGAACCCACCGCGCCTCCTTTTCAAAATCTGTTATAAAATAAATGGGGGCTAACTTCAGTTAATTATCGATCGTGGTCAATAAAGATTACTAATTTTCGGGCTTGTTTCCAAATTTAACTGCAGTGTACAAGTTATCAAAAGTGAAAACAGACGAAGCCGTCAACCGTTGGACGACAGACCCGATATCATTTTACCAGAAACAGTTCAACTTCGCGGTGCATTGCGCTACGACAGTCTGCGGGGTGGGTTTCGATTTACTGTCCGATGCAAATCTGTACGTGTCTCCTTTATTTAACTTCCACGTGTATTATACGGTGAGAAACACCTTTTACGTCTGCATTATGTCTATCCCGAGCAACGACATATTTGGCGCGTTGCACAATTACAATCACCGCACATTTACAGACACTTGCCTACTGTACAACGTCGATCCAAACAAGTCCTTTAAACAAACGAGGGATACTTTGTCAAACGGATTGGGAACAGCCTATTATTACGACGATACAGGGGATTCAAGCTACGTACAGGTCCGGCAAAAATTATGACCCCGACGACTTACGCGTGCCAAACGGCAAATACGCGGGATCTACTTTTATGGGATTTGGTTGGGCTAAACCTCTAAAAGGCTCGGGCCACGCGATACCTATACCGCAATCGGGCGCAGTCACATTGGCTTAGTGGAATTTCATTCCTAACAAGTCCAAGCTAACAGACGTAGACATCATAAAGGTGAACGAGTCGATTAGAGCTTATTTATAAAGACAAGTGTTTTAGCCCCCGGCACCGGGTTAATGCTCAACAGCATTTTATCACCATAATGGAATCTTTAATAAACTCGGAGCCCGACCTGAAACAAAGTATCAACCAATTTCAGGATTCGTTGCAGTACGCAAAAACGCCTTTAAACTTTGTAGTCGCACCCGGTTTGTATTTGGTACCCTCGGACGTGGACCTGAGAATCGGTATGTTTGAAGGATACAACAACAATTTACAAATCGCAGAAGCCGGCATGAAGACGGTCAAGTAGAAGAAGAGCCAGATTTCACAGAACCTGGTCAAGTAGACGAAGAGCCGGTGCCAGAATGTACACCTCCTTTACCGATACCAACACCACCTCAAGAAAAGAAACCGTTCGACGTTCACAACGAAGAAAAACTGTTGCAAACCGTAGGAGCTATTGTCGTTGGTGGACTCGTTTTTATGCTGTACAAAGTGTTAACTTGAAACTAACTTTGACTTAACCAAAAAATAAAAGGCACGAAAAAACCCCTCCTCAAATTATAGGAGGGGTTTAATTTAATTTTTGTTTTGGCTAAAGTTAATCTGTTAGGTTAAACCATCTGAACCAGCCTAAACCTTCTGCACCGATCTACATCTTCTGCACGTAAGTCAAGATTAAAACACCGGCACCCACAAACAACGTCCAAACGTACTACCGATCCAACCGACTGCTTTTCTCGCTGCGTTGAACAG